CGCTCCGCCTCCTCCTCCTGCTGGGCGGTGAGCACGCGCCCCCGGCCCCGGCTGGAGGCCCCAGAGGCTGGGGGGCTGGACGGCGAGTCCGGAATGGGCCCCAGGGGCGGGGGCCGACAGACAGACGGACCAGCGCTGTCCTTCTGACAGTCCCTGGGCCCACCTTGGCGCGGGCGCAGCCCGAGTTGCTTCCCACTTGGAGAGCTCTTGGGTGCCGGCGCCCCGCGACCAGGCGGAGAGGTCTTGGGAGGTTAGGGGTTGGCAAAGAGGAAGCGAGCTTTGGCGGCCTGGATGTGAGTGAGAAGGAGCTGGTACTGGCCTCTCCTTTCCTGGGCACTTTGGGGGAAGGATTAGCCTTCTTTGTCTTCTGAGAGTAGCCCTGACATCTCAGGGGCTCAGCCTCTAACCCCTCCCCTCCTGGCTCCATTTGCCCAGATCCTCGCCATCCCATCACCCTCTCCCATTTCTCCCACAGCTGTCTTGAAGACCCAGGAGTCCCTGGCGCAGCCTCTAACCACCCCAGGCAGCTTGAAGTCAGAAGGTGGGTGCCCAGATGCTGTGGGAGGGTGGCCTAGGGCAAGGAGGAGAATCTGAAGGATCTCTTTCCCGCAAGGCAGGCCCCAACCCCAGCTGGTGCCCCACTAAACTCCCTTCTGTTCTCTTGGAGTTTCCAATGGTCTTTCTCCCTCTCATCCCACAAAGCCCCTGACCAGCTCTGAGCTGGCCCACCTCACCAGTGGGTGAGAAGACCCCATGAAAAGATATGTGGGGAAGCTCTTGTCAGGTGGGAAGTATTACACATGTGGAAGACATTAAACGATTCCTGAGCCTGGGCTGCCTCCTCAGCCAGAAGTATCTTGCTTGGGAAACTTTCTAAGGCTGTTCTGGGCATGGGTTGGTGTGTGTGTGTGTGGGGGGGGGGGATGATGGTGGTAGGGATGTGGTTAATATGCAGCATCTGTGCCCACAGGGACGATGGTGGAGCAGTATGAGACAAATGTCCAATCTTGCTGGCTAGAGTATAAGAAGCTTATGGACCCCCTTGAAAAGGATTGGTGTGACTGGGCCATGATCAGCAGGTAGGGGCAGTGCTGGATAGTGTCTTGGGCCAGGGGTGGGCCTGCTCCCTGGTTTGCTCCTTCAGATGGCCCCAGGGGTGAGTGTGGGGCACACCTCTCTGTGGGCCCAACCCTTCCTCACTGGAGTTCTCTCCCACCCCAGGCCTTATAGCTTCCTTCGCGACTGCTTGGAGTTCTATGCTGACTACTTTGACCTGGGCTTCCCCAATCCCTGGGCAGAGAGGGTCATCTTTAAGACTCATCAGATGCACTTTGCCAACTGCTCCCTGCTTCAGTCCACCTTCTGCGACCCCCCGGAGGATGTGCTCCTGGCCATGATCATAGCCCCCATCTGCCTCATCCCCTTCCTCGTCACCCTTGTGGTGTGGCAGAGTAAAGACAGTGAGGCCCGGGCCTAGGGTCCACAAGCTTCTCAGTGGCCATCTTACTCTTCTCCCCTGCCCCCACAACCCCACCTCAGACCTTAATGCCTCTCCCCCTTTTTCCCCTCTCTACCCCCTTCCCTCACTCTCACCCCAACCGCAGGTCCTGGAATTGGTGGAAATGGAAGCTGGGTGGGATCATGGCACAAACTCTGTAACGCAATCTTAAAAATAAACCTATTTTGTGTGTGCACCATCCCCTTCCCCATTCCAGTGGAGCCTGTGTCCTTCCCAGAGTTCCTGCCTCTCCCACAGGCCCTCAGCTCTGGGCAGCAGAACTGGAAGAATCTGGATGACCCTACTACTCTTTTCACCTGCCCCTCCCCCACTGTCCCCTCCCACCTGAAGGCCACACCCCTACACTCTTTCCTCCCAGGGTGGGGCCTTTCCTGCCCCTATCCAAACTCAGCTCCAGGAAACGTGCAGGAAAAGACTCCCTTCCGGTCTGGACAGCAGCTGGGGGCCTGCAATTGGGGAGGTATTGGGGGAGGGAGGGGGACAGAATCTCTGCTGTGACTCCTGTGAGAAAGAAGAGGGGCTACCCCCGAGCTCTGACTTCTCCCCTTCTTTATGCTTCAGTTTACTCCTGGGGTCTGCAAATAGGAACCCTGACCTGACCAACAGCAGTCCATCCCTAGAGACCTTAGGATTGAGGGCAGAAGCTTCCTCTCCTAGGTTCATCACAGATGCCTCTAGTTACCAGGCCCTCATCCTACATTGTCCTGAACCCCGGGGTGTGGCCTACAGCCTGGCCGCACACTGCCCCCTGGTGTCCACTAAAGCCAGCAACCAGAAGATGGACGTAACCGGGAAGAAGCTCAAAACTGAGGAGCATTGGACTCTGAGGTCAGAAGCCTGTCATCTCTATAGCAACCACTAGCAACAGCCTCCCCCACATACACACCCTTCTATCAGTGTCCTGAGGAACATCTATACTTCCTAAAGACAACTTGGATATACCTAGCCCCTCTCTGCCACTCACCATTTCTGTGTATGGACACGCTTATATGGAGTCCAAGGAGCCCTGGTAGCGGTTAAGTGCTCAGCTGCTAACCAAAAAGTCTGTGGCTGGAATACAGTAGCCGCTCTGCAGGAGAAAAGATCCAACCTTGGAAACACTATGGGGCAGTTCTACTCTGTCCTACAGGGTCGCTATGAGTCGGAATGGACTCAACGGTATACAACAGCAACAACAACAGCATATGGAGTCCCTGGGTGGTGCAAATAATTAAACATTCAGCTGCTAACTGAAAGGTTGGAGGTTCAAGTCCACCCAGTGGCACCTCAAAAGAAACGCCTGGTGGTCTACTTCTGAAAAATCAGTCATTGAAAACCCGACAGAGCACAGTTCTACTCTGACACACTTGGGGTCGCCATGAGTAGGAATCGACTCAATGGTAACTGGTTATATGTTCCCTGGGTAGTGAGGCCCAGTTTTCACCAGGGAACCTCTACCTCCGGCCCTTCCTGGGACATACCTGCTAGGTCATTGAAAATATCTAGAAGACAACTTTGTTTCCATAGGGACACATGTTTATTCCTTCTGACACCCTGAACTTCTTTATGGACTCACCTTTCCTCTTTGTTGAAATATCTGCTTTCCTGAGTACATGCATGTTTATTTCCTAGGAAATCCCTGTCTATTCCATACATGTATGCCTGTATGCTTTCTGGAACGTTTCTATTCATGCTGTGAGACACACTTCTCTCAGGACACATCTCTGTCTAGAGACACACCTGTTCCCTAAGATATTTCAAGTTTTCTCCTGAGGTAAACCTTAGCTCTAGTTCCATGAACATATCTATCTTCCCCAAGGACATATCTGCCCTCTTCTTGGCACATTTTTGCCTTCATGCATTTTACTAATATACATCAAGGGCCCTGGTGTTATAACACACTATGTGGTGTATTTTGTGGGAAAGATGAACTAGATAAGGCCTGGTTTCTGCCATCAATAGCTTTCATGTAGTAGGGGAGCTGACATTTGCACAAATAAACAAAAAGAACAGAGTGTGTCGTGAGAGTCATGCAAGAGACACAAACCAAACGTTGTCCCAGTGTAAAGGAAAGGGATCACATATGCCTGGGATGATTACACGAGGTGTGATCACAGGAAGGTGACTGTAAAGTTGTTACATGAGCTAGGCTTAGAGGGAGTGCATTATTCTAGGAGAGTAGAAAAGGAGATGAATTAGGAAATTGTTGCAACAATCTAGGCTTGAGAAAGTGGGGACATGAACCAGAGGAGTGGTGAATGGGGAAATAAAAAAGAATTTAAAAGCAGGAGAGATGATTAAAAAGTGGGGAGCGGGGGATCAGCAGGACTCGGAAACGAAAGGGTGAAGGAGCAGCATGGTGGTGGCGGGGACTTAAGGCTGACTCAGGCTTTGAACCTGAGTTACTAAGAGAATGATGGCAGTAATAATAGAAAAGGGCCACTAGGAAGAGGAACTGGCCTGAAGAGAAGGAGGCAGAATATGAGTTAACAATGAAACATTCAAGTTCTTTCAATATGCAGAAAGATAGAAATGGGGGTGGTGGTGAGGGAACAGACCAAAGCTGGAAATATAGGTTTGGAAGTCCGCTGCACAAAAATGCTATGCGGAGCCATAGGAGGGATGAGAGCTCTTAAGAGAGATGGTGTATTGAAAAGAAGAAGGGCTGAGTTAGGAAATACCCACATTTAATGAATGAAGAAGAAAAAGGAGAGAGAGAGTAAGATTAGAGAAGTAGCAGGAAAAGGATAAAGCCATGCCATGGAGGCAAATGAGATGGTGACCTTTGAAAAACCATTATCAATTGACTGGTTCTTTCATTCTTTCAACAAATATATGTTGGGCACTTTTATGGGCCAGGAACTGTGCACAATGAAGGACAGACTTGGATAGTGGAAAGGTTAGAGATCAGGTAAGTTAAGAGAGTGGCAGGGTCAAGGAAACTGGATGTATTATCAGATAAGGAGGACTTGAACATATTTGTACACTGGACAAATGGAGCCAGAGGTAAGAGAAAGGGGGAAGATCAAAGAGACATCCTGGAGAAAGTTGGAAAGGAGAGGCTCAAGAAGCTATTCTAGGAAATGGAACAACCAAAACAGTAATAATGAGAATGTTCACGCATTGTGAAGAATGTCACTGTCTTAGTCATCTAGTGCTGCTATAACAGAAATACCACAAGCAGATGGTTTTAACAAAGAGAAGTTTATTTCCTTACAGTAAAGTAGGCTAAAAGTCCAAATTCAGGGTGTCAGCTCCAGGGGAAGGCTTTCTCTCTCTCTTGGCCTTCTCATCAGTGTTCCCCCGGCCTAGGAGCTTCTCGGCACAGGGACCCTAGTCCAAAGGATGCGCTCTGCTCCTGGCACTGCTTCCTTGATGGTATGAGGTCCCCAATTCTCTGCTTGCTTCCCTTTCATCTCTTGAGAGATAAAAGTTGGTGCAGGCCACACCCCAGGGAAACTCCCTTTACATTGGGTCAGGGATGTGACCTGGGTAAGGGTGGTGTTACAATCCCACCCTAATCCTCTTTAACATGAAATTACAATCACAAAATGGAGGCTAACCACACAATTCTGGGAATCATGGCCCAGCCAAACTGATACATTTTTGGGGGTACATAATTCAAACCATGACAGTCACCATTGTCACTGAGCAATTTTTGTAGAAATTGTTGCATGGGAACCTCAACTGCTGTGTAAACCTTCACTGAAAACACAATAAAATATTTAAAAAAAAATAAAGAAGATATGCCAAAGGGTTGGCCTTGAAAAGGAAGACTGACATTTTTTCTTTAAGTCTAAAAGCAAGAAGGAGTAAGAGTGGAGAGGAATTTTTGAAGGATGAATCAAGTGTGGTAACACGCAGAGAGGGGAAGATTAAGGGGTTTACATGCATGGCCTCAATGTCATAAAATGGCAGGGAAAAGTATTTTGCAGAGAGGGTAGAGATGGGGACAAGTGGAGTGGCTTGATGAGTTGGAAAAATTTGAAGAGCTATCTGACGTATGTGACGGAGTCAATAAAAGACAAATGGTCACTGGGCTGCACTGAGAGCCCAGCAATGAAGTTAGTCAGGGAATCTGGGGCCCAGCCAACAAGTTATGGTGACTTATTTTGAGTAGTACTCTGCAGTTTAGGAGTTAAAAAAAAAAAAAAAAAAAGGATTAGGGTAGAAGGGAAAGTAGCAACAACCTCAGTTTGGGGACAGACCAGCAGATAGGCAGGCAAAGAAAGAACTGAGTACTCTAGGTTGGGTAAAGAGTTCGTTAAGACCAAAAGAGGTCCTAGGATTTGAGACTAGGAGGGTGAGGTCGTGCGAGAGACCGGAGATGTATAGCTGTGGTCAAAGACGGCAGCTCTGAAAGATGGAAGCAGAGCCATCTTTAGTAATCCAAGCTGCAAGTTATGTTGTCACTGGTGCTGTGGGAGAAATGATGGAGCCAAAGGACATAGGAATTGAAGATATTGAAGAATTGTGAAGCGTTTAAATTAAATGTGAATTGATACAAATGTTAATACTCAAAAAAGCCTGGCACAGTAGAAATAAGCCTAGGGTGGGATTTGGAGACCTGGGTTCTACCTGCAATTCCACAAACAAACTGTGACGCCTTGGGAAAGTCGCTGCCCTTCTCTGGGGTTGAACCATAAGACTTCTTAAGGTCCTTCCTACTATAAAAGTTAAGAACTTTTAGGATAACAGCATAGTCAGGCTGAAGAGGACGGGCTCCTCCGTCGGACCGCCCCTCTTCCGAGGAACGATCGGAACCTTTGTGCTGTGCTTTCTGCCCGGATGTGCCGAAGCGGAGACCGGAAGTCCTCACCGGGAGGTTCCGGGTTCCCTTGGCTCTTACGATGGCGATGAGTTTCGAGTGGCCGTGGCAGTATCGCTTCCCGCCCTTCTTTACGTGAGGCTCAGACCCCGAGAAGCCCCTCTGTGCCTCCCTTCTTCACCCTGGGCTTAGCCCTGCGGCTTCACATGGGAAGGGGGAGAAAGGACCCGGCCGCCACTACCCTTAGCTCCCCACCTCCTCCCCCGAACGTGCTCCGGACAATTGCTGCCTCTCACGTTCTCAAGCCATCTAATTCTGCTCCTCACCCTTCACCTGGCAGGTTACAGCCGAACGTGGACACCCGGCAGAAGCAGTTGGCCGCCTGGTGCTCGCTGGTCTTGTCCTTCTGCCGCCTGCACAAACAGTCCAGCATGACGGTGATGGAAGCTCAGGAGAGCCCGCTCTTCAACAACGTCAAGCTACAGCGTATCCTCCCTCAGGCTCTCCCACAGCCCACACACATACACTTCCACACTTTCCCACAAGCTGAGACTTCAACCCCCGCCCCTTCACCCAGGCAGACCCGCACCCGAACTGGACCCTGGGAAAGAGGCAGCATGTGTAGCTAACATCCATTTTACCCCCTAAATGCAGTACGGAACCTTAGGGTCAGCCGCTTGTCCTAGGGAGTGATGAGTGGCCAGGTGCCATTCAGGTCCTAGGGTCTCTGTCTTTGAAGGGAGTCCGAACCTCCTCAACTTGAGCTCTTTTTTTTTGCATCTCTTTTCCTCTCCTCTCTGAGGCTCAAACCTCCTACTACCTTTAACAACTTTCTCCAGCACTCCATCCCCCATCCAGGAAGTAAGGGTCATTTATTTTTGCTGCCTGATTCATCTCTAAAATATATGTGGAGAAGGGCTGAAGGGAGGGGAGAGGACAGAGGGTGAGGAACAGTAGCAATTTTCATTTTCTAAAGCCGTTCTCTTTAATTGCAGGAGTTTCTCTATCCCCCTCCCCCTAATGTTCAGAAAATGCCAGTATATATCTGGTTGGGGAATTAACATGTACATGTGTGTGGAACGGAGAAGAAAGGGGGCAGGTGATTCACAGCATGGGACTGGTTCTGAGAATTTTTATTGCACCAATTAATATTGTTTCTTATCAGTTTATATCACGTATATCGTTCACTTAACCATAAACCAGGGAAGCTCCCTGTGGAATCAATTCAGATTGTATTAGAGGAACTGAGGAAGAAAGGTGGGTTCAGTTCTCCAGATTCCTTATTTACCCTTCTAGCTGGGTTTTTCTGAGGGAGATTAGAAGAAGTCTTTCCCCTTTAACAATTTTTTTCTCTCCTCTGGCTTGGAGCGCAGAGTGTTTGGTACAGTAGATAGTCCAGTTTCTCAGGTCCTTTCCACCCTATTTGTATAACAAAATTAGAATTTATCCGTCTGTGCCCTAAGACCTGAAGAGAGGTGGAAGGAGAATGGTTGCCTTGCAGATAATAAAAGTAAAACAAATACTGAATCTCTGAAAGCTGAGTCTCTTCCACTCTGTCCCACCTTGGTATTCCCCTCTTTGTCTCTTCTTAGAGCATGATCCTTTCATAAGTATCTATTTTACAGGGAACCTTGAGTGGTTGGATAAGAACAAGTCTAGCTTCCTGATCATGTGGCGGAGGCCAGAAGAATGGGGGAAACTCATCTATCAGTGGGTGAGACCATCCTGCCACTGAGTACTCAGCAAAGGCCCTTGGCAGATGAGAATAATATATGTGCCCAGCAGATACCTGGTGTTCCCAGATCCAGACTAAGAAAAGTGGGGAGAGGGCAGAAAGAGGAAACGTAGGCTTTCCAGGCAAGCCTCTTTTTTTTCAGTGACTCAGTTTCCCTGGCTGCACAGAACTTCCCTTTCTTTGCCTGTAGGAGGCCAGGGGCTACTTGAGGCTATGTTTGGAGAATGCAGTACTGGGAACCACAGGTGCTATTGTTGGCAGGAGTCTCTGGCCACAGGAGATAAATGAGGAAAGGAAGGAAAAAAAGAAGCCCTGGGGCCCCTCCCCCACTGCACCCTTATGGGACTGTCCGCAACATGAATGAGACATTCTGAACCAGTGTGGGTGTGGGGGCAGAACGCTTTCTCCCCCAAATTCCCAGCCACCACAAGCCCCAAACATTCCCAAAGGAAGGAGGAGGGGAAAAAGCATCAACAATCCAAACATAACAAACACACACCACCCATTCCTGAACAGGAAAACAACCAGAATGAGAGCTCACTCAAAACACGTGAAGGCCTGTGGGTTAGTGGTTCTGAATGTGTGTGTACCCATATAAATATAGCACCTGTAAGCCTTGTGGCTTTTAGGCTACTCTGCGGAGGCGACAGTAAGCCCTGGTTTGGGGATAAGTACCATTCCTGGATTAGAGAGGTGGAGCTGGTGAGGTTACCTTCTCCCACATGGTTCCTGGTCCCTATTCAGTCCCCATCTTCTGTGTCCACAGGTTTCAAGAAGTGGCCAGAACAACTCCGTGTTCACCCTGTATGAGCTGACCAATGGAGAAGACACAGAGGACGAGGGTGAGGCCTTCCCTTCCCTCCGTCAGTTTTGTCACCTGAATCCTCTTTCTACTCTGGGTTTAAATGGCATTCAGATTTCCCACTTCTCTTCCTGTGAATTCCAAGTACTCATGTCCAGGGATTCCATAAACTACCTGACTTCACATGCAAAAAAAAAAAAAAAAAAAAAATTTGTTTGTAAGAATGTATATACATTTTTCTAGGAATGGAGTCCATATTATAAGATTGTTACGGGCATCTATGACACATGAAAAGTTAAGAACTGCTGGTATGGATGACAAATGAGGAACCAGGCTAGGGGAATTAAGCCTGAAATCTCATTCCTTGCTGACTCAGGCTTGCTTTCACCCTTTATTCTTATAGAAGGCTCACAATTTGTGGGCGTCAGCTGAAGGGATTGGACCAACACCCCCAGCCCATTTAAATACTTTGGTTTCTGGCCAGGCAAGGATTTGTATATAGTTTGATTTTTGTATAGTGTAAACACTCTCTTAGCTGTTTTCTCTCTGACTCCAGATTCTGATCCTCAGGATCATGAAAAGTTCTAATCTTAGCTGGGGTAATGGGGGCACCTCCCCTTTCTGCCAGGCCCTGGCTGCCCCAGCAGAGTTTACAGCTCTTGGCTGTTCCCCCTGCCCTGCAGGCCTCTGCTTGCTACTCCCACCATCACCCATGACTTCAGCGTTGCAGCCTCGCACGGCCCACCACTCAGGTTGAGCAAAGCTGGAGGCTCCCTCAGAAAGTAAGCTCCCTGACTTCAGAGCTGGGCCCTGCAGGGGGTGAGGTGTGCAAGCCTGTTGGGGCTTGCCTCCTGCCTCTCACACCTCCCTGCAGTGTCTTAACATATCTCCAGGTACTCAGCTGGCCCTTGGCTCCCAGCCATGTCCTTTTTTACTAGGAAATGGCAGATATCTATGCTGGACCTTAGTAGTCTCCTGGCCAGGGGTACTAGCTATTCTTTGTCTTAGGACAGGTCCTCCTGGTGGGTATAGATATGCGACTAGGGTTTGTGTCCAGTGACAAGGGCCTTGACTTTCCCTAGGTCTGATTGTCAGGGCCCGCCTCTTTGTGGCCTACAAGCAGATGGTGTCACCTTGTACATCAGACACTAATGGCAAGGGTGGGGGGAGAGCATGAGGGTTGAGAACCAGGGAGGGAGAAATATGCATGAGTGCTCATTTTTGCTAACTCAGGCTTTCTTCGAGTCTTCACTCTTAGGGAGTGCCCAGGAATTGTGAGTGGTAGCTGCAGAGTATAGATGGCACATGCATACGTGGCCTCACCAGATCTCAGATTCCAGCTAGACTGCTCTCTTCAGAGACCCTGGGCCCTGAGGGGCTGAATGTCCCTGACTGCCCCATCTCTCCCTGTCTAGAGTTCCATGGGCTGGACGAGGCCACCCTGCTTCGAGCCCTGCAGGCCTTACAGCAGGAGCACAAGGCCGAGATCATCACTGTTGGCGATGGCCGAGGCGTCAAGTTCTTCTAGCAGAGACCTGTCTCCTTTTGTTTCTTACCTCCCACCCTTCCAGGGCTTTCAAAAGGAGACAGACCCAGTGTCCCCACAGACTGGGCCTGTGACTCCACCAGACTCAAAAGAGCTCCAGTCCTGAAGGCTGGGACCCGAGGATGGATTTCCCACTAACCCTCTACATCTGTCCCTGGGATAGGGTGAGACTGAGGCACCTGGGAGAAGAGTTGTGCTTCTTGCCCTCCCTCCTCTCCCATCCTAGACTATCCCTGAGCCAGGGTCTGTAAACCTCACTTTACTTGTGTACACACACACACACACACACACACACACACACACACAC